GTAGTAGTAGTAGTAGTAGTAGTAGTAGTAGTAGTAGTAGTAGTAGTGACGACGACGACGACGACGACGACCACCACCACCACCACCACTCCTGACTCCTTACTATACATACTACCTACTACATACTACCTCCCACCTCCTACCTTGGCCTATTTAGCCCTGGGCCAAAGCAACACCCTACAAAACCCTACAAAACCTGTCTGATTTCGCTTGGCACGCCCAACCACCCGGTCGCGTCCCGCCCGCAGGGCGCGGGGGTCACTTCTGGTCCCGCGCTTAGGCGACCTACATGAAGCTGGCCCGGCTGCCGCAAGGGCCCACGCTCACGTTCCGGGTGGACAGCGCCTCGGTGTCCCATGGGAGGCTTAGAATAAGGGGTGGACCGAAAGAGGGGGTGGAATGAGAGGTCGAAGTTCCATGGGTTCGTGGGTGTTCCTGTTTTTTTTTTTTTTAAACCCACTGAAGTCAATGATGAAGGTGGTTTAACAAGTGTTCAGTTTGTTTTAATATCTATTTTTTTGTTTCGAGCACAGCATGGTGCGGCACCATGAGAATCCCCCTAATTGATGTTGTAAAAGAATCCGAGCACAATACTATGATTGTTCATATGTCATTGTCATGGATGTGGGACATGGCCCCCTAAAGCAACCATGCGGCCATTTTTCGTGCTTTGATCAGATTTGTTTGCCTTCTCCAGTTCTCCGAAGATCCTACGACAGGTTCAGCATCTTCAATTCAGCAAAAACACACTGTTCTGTGGATGGAGAGTGTCTAAGGCAGCTCGGCTCTTGGTTCTCTCAGGCTTCACCTTGGCAAGAGAAGTGCGCGCCGCACAACGTCTCCTTGGCGGTCATGGGACGGGTGTGGTCGCCGGCCAAAGCAGGTGCCTTTGTAGGTGAAGGGGCTCCAGAACTGGTTGCTTCAATCACTCATCAGGTGTTCAGGCGATTTCTGGTGGTTCCTGGTGGTTAAATCGCTCGATTTCAGGTGGGTTCCTGGTTTTCCTGGTTTTCCTTTTGGGATGAGACGGAGATCTTCTTGGAAGAACGACGTGACGTCGGTCTGACTCCGTTCCCGGGACCTGTGTTACCGGTGACCCGTGACTGGTCGGACTGGTCGTGACTGGGTCTCCACCCATTCCCAAGGTGGGGTCACTGTTCTTCACACGGCTTCGAGGTTGAACAGGTGAAAAAGGATATCGGAGGATATCGGATAGGGAGCCTGGGAGGATTTGTTGACAAATTCAGTTTGAGACTTCCTGTGAGTCACGCCACCTTGGTCCAAGTCTACTGTGATAGAGCACCAGTTGCAACTCCAAAAAGAGAGCTGGGAATCCATTCCAAAGAAAGCCTGAAGCACAAGGAAACCTCCCGATTTGTATTTTTTTTTCCAGAGGACCTGCCCCCCAAACACCTGAAGGCATGGACGTAGAAACAGATGACAGACGGCATACGTACATACCTACCTACATACATACATGCATACATACACACATACACACATACACACACACATACATACATACACACATGCATACATACATACATACATACATACATGGCTCAAGCTGTGAGCGGTTCAAGCGGGCTGCCAACGAAGACCCGCTGGTGCGCCAAGCCCCAGGCGAACATATCCAGCACTACCACAAGAAGGACGGCCCAGGAACAAGTTCATCTAGAACACATCCTTTGCCCGCAATCAGGAGAACACCTTCGACTTTCTTGTCGAGCCCTTTTACCTCTGGCAGAGCTCGCCTGGCTTCCTCCTCGGGTTTTTGGAGGGGACTGGGGCTACTTCACTGCCAACCTCCTCTGCCTGTTCGTGCTCGGTGCTCCGGTCAGTGCCCTCTTCCTAGGATTGCAGGACGCTTTTGAGGTGCCACTCCATCTGACCGATGACGGCCTTTCGAACTACCTCATGGTGCCGGAGTTATGTCACATGTAGACACAGCCAATGTACGAACTGGATTTGGCAGGACAAGCTCAAGCCCGACACCAGATGCCGCCAATGTGGCACATGGTGGCCTGTTCTCAAGGCCAGCCAAGGAGGCACGGGCAAGGGCAAAGGACAAGGTCGACCCACCAAGACAGAAGCAACAAAACAAGCTTCCTGGCTTGAGACACCACCAGGCCTAGGGAAGTTAAAGCCTTTGAAGAAGACCAAGCTCCAGAAGGAAGCCACAGAACTCCTCGAACAAGTCTGGAGTGGCATGTCCAATGAACTACAAGACAAGCTCCAGCACCTCGGCATTGGCCCCAAGAAACCGCCAGAGCCGGATCTCCATGAGATGCTGAAAACCCACATGGCGGCTCTTCCAGCACAGGTCCAAGAAGTGGTCACCCGCCTCACCACACCAGCCCCGGCTTCAGAGCAAGACATAGCCATCAGGCTGAAGGGACAGGTCACTGACCTGAAGAACCTCTCCACGAAGAAAACACAGCTCCAAGAGAAGCTGGATCAAACCAAGCTGCAATACCAAACCCTTCTCCAGGAAATGCAAGACCTTCAACAGAAGCTCAATGATGGACAACAGGCCCTCAAGCTGTTATCCGAGGACTACATGAAGGCAGTCAACAAGGAGACAAAGCAAGCAGACTTGGATTCAGGCATGGACATCGACACATTGCCTGCAGCAGTGGAAACATTCGTAGCCAATCTTGGAGTCTCACTATCTGATGAACAAAAGACAGCTTCATGGGCTCCTCAAGCGACCCAATGACACGGATGGTGACCTTTCCAAGCGCAGGAAAACAGACAGCCCGGCCATGGCAACACCTCCAGGGTCGGGTGGGTAACATGCACGTCATGCCACAAGGGTTTCAGGGGCTCCAGGTGCCGGTCCCCGATGACGATTTTGACAGAGCACCAACCACAAATTTGGTTTGCCGCGCTGCCTCAAACCCAGCACCGGCGGGGACTCAGCAAATGGACACTTGTGCGGGGGACAGTTCACAACACCATTTGCAGAACCTTTTTCAATACATCTCCAAGGAAACCTCTAACAAGAGTGCGGGGTCAAGTTCTCTTGTTCATGAGGTTCAGACTCCAACACAGGAGCACATTTTTGCAACACCTCACCATCCGGCCGTTGATGGATCATCTCTTGGTGCACCTGGGCCAGAAGTGGTGAAAATTCGAGGGGGTGGAGCATCTAGGCCACCCCAATCAGGCCACCAAGACAAAGCCGCCATGCAGAGCACTTTCGCTTCGACCACGGAGTGCATCTTGCAAAATCTCACCATGACAGTGGGCAATCCTAGTGCACGCTGCTACGCCAATGCACCATGGCGAGCTTTCACATGGACTTGCGCTTTGCTGCAGGAGACCAACACGCAGCCTTGGGGAAATCTCCAAATGGCAGTTCAAGAGTCGCTCGAACTGGCTGAAGCAGTAGATATCCGTGAGCTGCCAGGCCTACATCCTCTTTGGGCCAAGCATGACCTCAACATCCAAGGAGATGCAAACCATTTCGTGAACACATTGTGGAACCATTCCCAAACGAGGGCATTCCACTACAGGTATGCAGAGATCCAAACAGGAGGCTACCTCAAGGATCACATCCAACAGCCCATCTTGGTGGACTTCCCAGATGACTGGCCGGAGAACACCAGCCTACAGGATCTCTACAATGGTTGGGCCAACACAGGACTTGGACAATTCCTGCTCGACGACAAGCCAGTGCTGATCTCCCACATCACCCGCAACACATGTGTGGAGGGCATCATGACGAAGCATGCCAAGATCCTCAATCCATATGGCACCTTCACGGTCCCTCGCTCCTTGGATGGCTTCGCAAGAGAATCTGCAGAGTTTGTGCCAGCGGCTCTGATATGCCATCGTGGACCCAGCCACAACACAGGCCACTATTTTGCCATCCTCATCTACAGAGATTTGATGTGGTTAGCTGATGATGGGAGACCACCAGTCCACCTGGAACACCTAACTCCACTCCTGGCCAGCCAGGTCACACAAATCTGGGCGGTGCACATTGACACCTTTCGAACGACGCAACAGGTCATACGATCGCTCCCACCACCAGAGGAGCCGGACTATGACCCACCTCTTCACCCAAGCCCAGAGAAGCGACCCCGTTTAGAACAAGAGCATAGCCAGTTGCACTTTGCCAATATCACCACCTTTGGCAAACAATTTCTGGACTGGTTCTGGGCCCGGCAAAGCGAGGTGCACATCTTCGTTGAGACTCGCCTTGACCCTCAACGTCACCAGGAAATCTGCCAATACTTCAGCATTAGAGGGAGAGTGGCCTTTGGAGCACCGGCACAGGTCAACCAAGAAGGCACTGGCAATTCAGGTGGCATCCTCATCCTTGGGGACCACGCCAGCGGGCTGACACCACTTGCAGCCTATACCCAGCAGGGATGTGGATTCCAAGCTTTCCTTTGGCAGGCCACTGAATGCACAATCCTCGTTGCCGGAGTATATATGATAACTGGGGAAGGCCTCCAAACCGACACCAATGCCACTATCCTGGCCAAGCTACTGGCCCTGGTTGAAGCCACAAAACACCCTTACATCCTCCTGGGAGATTGGCAAAACAGCCCGGACAGCTTCACCAGCACGGTGCTCCCTTCCAAGTTCCACTTTGATGTCAAGGCCCCAGACCACAGCATCCTCTCTGGCAACGTTCTCGACTATGCATTGCTGCACAACACCTTGGCACCGAACACGGCACTTACTACGGATTGGGCTGTGCCTTGGAGACCACATGCACTGATCACTTTGCACCTCAACATCGAAGCAGCCACTAACGAATACAGGCAGATCCAGTACTACCCTCCGTTGCCGGCGACTCCAGATATTGACTTTAGGCCATGGACATCCTACCAGTCACAAGCCTATGAGATTGAGTTGTACGGCATTCCACCCAATGAGCAGGCACAAAAATGGGCTGACTGGATCTCTTGCACCGAGCAATACCTCCTCCAGGAGCACCCCTGGGCAGCTCAAGGACGTGGAGCAAGCCTGAAGGTCAGCATCAAACCCTTGGTGTCCACCCAAATCTCCACCACGTGGAAAAAAGGGAAGCCAGCCTTTTGGGAACAGCTGAAAGCCAGATTCCAGCTGGCGATGAAGCAACCGGCCACGGTTCAAACAGGTCCACTTCGAGGTTTCACGCAGGCCCTCCAAGATGTTCCAAAGCATTGGGTCGGACCGCCAACCTGGGGCCAGTTCTTTGACACCAGTCACCACTGGCACCGCTACAGAGACACCCATGCAGCAGAGTTGGTGCTGCAAACCATAGCCCATCAGCTCCGCGAAGCACTACAAGCAGCCAATGAGGAAGCCCACCTCCAGTACAAAGACTGGCTCAAGCAAGGAGAGGCCAAAGGGCTCAGAGGTCTATTTCGGAGCCTCAAAAGCAGTGAACTAGCCTGGGAGCGGCCCTACAGAAACCTCCCACCGGATGAGAGGATGACGCAAAGATTTCAGACTGGGGAAAGTTATGGCAGATCAGGCAAACGGAGCAGCCACACGAACGACCCAGTCTGCAAACACAGGCCAGACAACAAGCACTACAACTTGAGCCCCTCACAATTGGCCACCTGGCCTCGGTTCTCAAGCACCTTCCGGATAAGGCATGCGGACCTGATGCAGTGTCAGCCCAGCTTCTGCGCACAGCACCCCCGTTGGCACTGCAGCCGCTTCTCAAGCTGTTCCAAGACATGGAGCACCAAGCACAGCTGCCAACACAACAACAGATGCACATGGTCATCATGTTGCCTAAGACCAGCACCAAGGAGAGGCCCATCACACTCACCTCCCTACTGTACCGTGTGTGGTGCAGACTCAGAAAACCAGTGCTGGACCAATGGCAAAAACAGCTGCCACCCACAATGCAACATGACAGAGCCAGACCGGGCGCCCAAGTCCTGCAGGTGGCTTTGGAAAGGCTACTCCGCCAGGAGGTCCACAAGGCCAATGGATGTCATGGAGTCACCTGCCTAATGGACATGAGCACGTTCTATGACACCATCAACCTCACCAGACTCCAACAAGAGGCACTCCGGCTAGACTACCCACCCCTGATGTTGGAGCTAGCCATGCAGCTGTACACGGGCCCCAAAGCCATCCTTGCGGAGCAGGAAATGACTCCCTTTTTCACCGTCCAAAATGGAGTCCCAGCTGGATGCCCCCAAGCACCCTTGTTGGCCAAGGCCGTGTTGGCACCAGCGCTCCAACCATGGCAGGTCCAACACCCTGACGTGCACCTCTCGAGCTGGGTTGATGATGTCGGCTTTGACACGGCTGGACGATCGCCCATGGCTGTGGCACAAAAGGCAGTCAATGCATACAGAGACATGCATCGCCGACTTGTTGAACTGGGCCTCAAAGTCAACCCACAGAAAACAGCATTCATAGCAACCGACCGCAGCACCGACAAAGCACTGCGTGAGCTCCTTCAGCCAGACGAGCCGCCTGTTGCGACGGTCATGAGGGACCTTGGAGTAGACCATCAAGGGGCCAGGCGACGAAGGATACCGGTGATGAAACACAGACTGGCCAAAGCCCACAAACGCAAGGTCAAGCTTCGCACTTTGCGAATTCCCACTCTGAAGATCCGGCTCCGCCTTCATCGTGGAGGAGTACAACCCGCGGCCCTATGGGGAGTTGAAGGCCAAGGCCTGGCCCCCCCCCCCACGATACCGGCAGGCCTTGCGACAAGCCATGGCCAAGCATCTTGGGCATCATACTGGCGGCCTGCTGGACAGCACCTATGACCTCCATCAAAAGAAGTACATTGATCCAGCAGACCAGGTCATCATCCACCATATCAAGGCTATCCATAGCCTCATACAAGCCTGGCCCACTGAACAAATGGCAGCACTTGAGCAGGCCTGGGAGACCACATTTCACCAGCTGCACACCAAGCAATACCCGTGGTACACAGTCCGTGGACCCATGGCAGCGGCCATCACCTACCTCAAGGAGTGGGGCTGGCAGGCCAACAACCTGAGGAGATGGACGAGGGCGGAGACGCCACTAATGCTTAGCAATGAAGTTGACATGCACCAGCCTTGGTGGAAGGTTGAGAAAATCCTCTTACTGGAAGCCAAAAACCAGCGCACCAACCGACTCGCCAGCAGACCTTTCCACCACCACCTCATCACGGGCATTGACTGGCACACGTATCATGAAGTCAAGAAGACTCTACCAGCACAACACAGGCACCACCTCAACACATGGACCCAAGCAGTTTCGGGAGGCTACTAAGGTCAAGCAATGCCCAATATGCCAAGTAGAGGCCACGCCTAAGCACATCCTCTGGCTCTGCAAATGGCACAAGTCCCAGAAGCATGAAGCCATGCCGCCAGAATGGATGGAACGGATCACATCCAAGGAAGAAGAACCTTTGTGGTCCACAGGATGGATTCCCTTGGAGCCCCAAGAGCATAAACACCAAGAACACCCGTACCAAGGACATGGATGGTGGGCAGACCTGGGGACGATAGCACCCACACCGTATAGCGGCTGGGCCTACACGCTCGATGCCACACCGTCCACCTATGATGACAGAACACAGCTCTGGGTGTTCGGGCTGTGCGCACACACCATGGCCCTCAGCCAACTCAAACGCTTGGGAGCGCTCACTGGAGTTCCCAAAGGCGATCAAACTAAAGCCAGGGCTTTGCTGGCAGGAGTGGTGGCCCTGGCCAAGCACACCACCACACCAGCTAAGGTGATTGTCCAGATAGCCACTGTGTGGGAAGCTTGGCACCAGCCCCGCAGCCGACCACCCTTCCAGGACATCCTAGAAGACATCACAGACCAGGACTACAGCCGCATCTCCGTGCTGTACATTCCAAGGCAAACTCGAACCCCAGACGCACCAGGCAATGAACCCCAGCTCCGAAAGCGCCAAAGGGATTCAGCCCTGGCAGCATGGGAGCGTTCCAAGCAATTCCAGAACCCCAAACAAGATGAATGGCAGGAAATTCTCGATGCCGACCACCGACAAATATACCGCCATGCGATCCAACGGCTGGCCAAGATCTTCGACGACCCACAACATTACATACACCAGAAAGCTCCCAAGCATCAAGGCAAAAACACCAAGAACTTCAAGAGGGACTTGGTGAGGCAATGTGCCAACAAATGGACAGACAACCATCACAGATGGGAGCCCCACCGCAGCGGCCAAAGGCCCTCACAAACTGGCCAAAAAGGCCTGAAACATAAGCAACTCTAGGAAAAAATACATACATACATACATACATAAATACATACATACATACATACACCCATCCATGCATCCATGCATCCATGCATCCATGCATCCATCCATCCATCCATCCATGCATGCATGCATACATGCATACATGCATACGTTACATTACATTACATTACATTACATTACATTACATACATACGTACTTACATACTTGCTTACATACTTACACACTTACATGCTTGCATGCTTGCTGGCTTGCTTGCTGGCTTGCTGGCTGGCTGGCTTGCTTGCTGGCTGGCTTGCTGGCTGGCTGGCTTGCTTGCTGGCTGGCTTGCTGGCTGGCTGGCTTGCTTGCTGGCTGGCTTGCTGGCTGGCCGGCTGGCTTGCTTGCTTGTTGGCTTGCTGGCTGGCTTGCTTGCTGGCTGGCTGGCTTGCTTGCTTGCTGGCTGGCTGCCTTGCTTGCTTGCTGGCTGGCTGCCTTGCTTGCTAGCTAGCTTGCTTGCTTGCTTACACCTCTGATAATCTTTTCATTTTCGCTCCAACCTTCAGGACGTCCGCAGGGCAGTTCTCGAGATTTCACCAGCCCGCCCTTGCAGGCGGGGTAGAGCGGGGTGGTGCTCTGTGGTTCTCTTGGATGGACCTGGTTGGACTTTGGGGCTTCGCATATGTTCATCCGCCGGTTTCAAGACTGGGTTGAAGACCATGGTAAGGCGGTAAGTCTGGGCTCTTGAAACCCAGATCTGCTAAGATTCACATCTCCGCTTGTGACCCACATCACAAATCACGCATTTTTACAGCCTTTTAACCCGGCTGCATGCCTGTTTTGGATTGTTTCCCAGATTCAGCCACCCTGAAAGTCACTCAACGGATGACAATGTCCGTGAGATTTGAAAGCAACTCACCAATGATCACCAATGGGCCAATGGGCTGCGAAAGGGTCCAGGGAACCCAATATATAGATGTGGTTTCAGCCAATGGTGATCGTTGAACACGTATAATTGAAAAATACCGAAACTCCAACATGGACAACCCCGCCCCGACATCCAACAACATCCAACAACCAAAGGTTTCTGGCGCTTTGTCTGGGTCGCGTCAGGTGCTGAATGGTTTGGGAGGTCCCAAGGAGCGCTTCGAATTGCCGCGACGCTATCTGCGAGTATCAGCGAGAGTGGTGAGACAGTGCACCTGGTAGAGTGGCAGAGTGATGAGTGGGGCAGACTCTGCAACTTCTTCTGTTTACTGATGACTCGGTCGTTCTCAACCTCGGTCGCCTGACAGGGACCGATCCCTGGTGGTTCGTGTCCTTTCCCGTGGCCTCGTTTCACCGAAAGAGCCGTTTTGTCATCACTCCGGCCTGGAAGGTGCGGATGACTCCGGCCTCATCCATTCAGCAGTCAGCAGTCAGAACTCTTTTTTGCAAGGTATTAAATGCCTAGCTGCAGTCGTATGCTTAACAGGTCGCTGGGAGACCTAGCAACCTGTTCTAAAGTTGTGCCTATTGGGGGGGAGATCTCCGTCCTTGTGTCTTTGGGAAGAATTGGGACTCGGAAGAAGCCGGTGGCTAGCCATGAAGCTTGAAAAAGACATGGAGACCGGTGCTGGAAAGCAGCGACCGGTGCTGAATTAAGTGGTGGGAACTCCATGAAACTGTTCAGTTAGATGCAGAGAAAGGTCAAATCCTGCCAGAATTGCTAGGGGCCTATCTGGGGGTGTCCATTGATCTTCCATTGCCACATGTAACGCGTCACTCCTTGGATCGTGCTCGGTCATGGTCGCACCTCCGCCTCACTCTCGTCGGTGCCACCGCCCCCCCGCGGCGCGGCGGATCGTTCTAGGACTCCCCGGAGGGCACCGGAGGTGGCAAGTCGCTGAAGATGCCGGAACGTCAGTTGCTGGCGGAAATGCTGCGAGGCGCTCTCCTCATGCGCTGTCACTTGGTCGTGGCTGTGATTTGTGTCCGTTGGAATGCTGCGGTAGGTGAAGTAAGGCCAAGAACTCGGCTCTGAGGTGTTTGGAAGGTTCAGGTCATGGAATGTTGGAAGAACTCTGCCCGGAAAATACCCAATTTCACTTGGGACGTGCTATGATGTGCTGGAGAGAGGATGGTGCCAAGAACACACCAAAAACGATCAAAAAGGCAACATGTACATTTGAGCACAGCTCCGACGCGCACAAACTCAGACCATCCAGAGATCTCCGTCAGGACAACTCCATATTCGCGTCCCATGTCGTTTTGAGATGTCTTGAGGGGTCAGCCGCAGGCCAGCCACCATCCTACGTTTGGATTGACCGAGAGAGGCACCCTGCTGATGTCACAGGTCTTATCGCCCAAAAAAGATTGTATAGTTTGCAAACATGACACTAAAAACACACGTTCCTGGGTGTGATAGGGATTGGAATGTCCTATGAGGAAAATCGCCACCCCCGAGGTACCCATTTCATTCCGGGATCCTGGGTGATCTTTCGGGAGGCATCACGGGTCCCCACGCACGCACCGTTCAACGAGTCGTCTACAAGTCTCGTCTTTTCCGGCACAGGCACTTTCCCAGCGATCGACGTGCCCACCTTCAACCAGGCGGCAGTTCCTCCTTCAACCAAGCGCAACCGGAGCCCCGGACACGCGGGGTGGCGCAGCTTCTTCTGTCGTATCCCAGAGGGATGGTGCGTTAGAAACCTGAGATGTGCGTTTTCTCTATATATGCAACTGAGAGCCGATGGATCGGCGATGGATCGGTGGTCTATACATTTATGTTGATCAACACCCAAATGAGCAGCTTCAAAAACCTGATATGATGAAAAGTGTGCTTCAAAAACCTGTATGATTATACAAAAAAGTAATAGGGGTTTTCGAATCTGCTCAAATGATGTGCTGGCATTTTCCTAATCATCACCAGCCGTTTTTCCCACAGTCCTGAACGCTGCCAGGCAGAATGTCGTCGGGCCGCGCTCTTCCATTACGACCGAGAGAACGACGCCATCTTCTTTCGGCATTTCGTCGCGTGGCTTTGCGTTCCGGGCCTGCTGACCTGTACCAAGGGTTTACACTAATGGTGAGGATTCCAATTCAACAGATCCCCTCAAGAGCTTGAGTCAGTTGGTTTTCAGTTGCTGATCTCATCAAGCGGATTCAAGTGGATTCAAATCGTGCGCAAGCGAGTCCACGATGATGGTCTACTTATTTTAAACAGAGCTGCAGCAAACTCATGTTCCGAACGGGTCACGCGCAAAGCTTACCTTGGCGAGATGTTCATGACCTCACACGCCACATGTGTTTTTGCCCATGTGTGTGCTTTGGTTGATGTTACTGTTTGTCAGCCGTAAGGCTCAACTTGTTTGCACAAGACTTTGCCGAACAGCTTGAGATCTGCCCACCCAAACAGTCATGAGGCTCTGGTGCTCTATGGGTTTGTGCGATAGAAGAAAACACAGAGTGATACACAGATACACTTCTGTTTTTGTACCAACAGGGAAACAGCTTTCTGGACATGACTGCATCGTCTTGGGGCCACGATCACCTAAGGTGGTGGGCCGGCGCCAGCTGGGCCTCGAGCGCGGTGACTGGGACAGCAGATGGTGCGGTTGAGGGGTCACTACCCTGCGGTTCAGGGTTCCCCCGAAGGGTAGTTGAAAAAACAGATGCAATGGTAACCTGATTCAACATGTAAGGTCTCCGAGGTTTCATGGTAAATCTCAGTTTATTTCCAGTGCAGCGTCGGCAATGCACATATGAGGTGAATGATGGTGAATGTAAATATTCCTCAGGGAAAGAGATGCAACCTATTCACCAATCTGGTTGCAATGACAGCTTGTTTCAAGTACTTGGAGAAGGCCGGAATAGTTGTTCTATGCTGTTCTTGCTCTCTTGTGAAGCCTTTCCACCCCAAGATTCCATGTGGAATGTCGTGCTTTCATCCAGGGATCAAGAAGCTGACCAAGTTCAACCGTTTGCCGAACCTCTCTGGCAAGGCTCGGGGCCCACGCCAGCATGAGGAAGGAATCAATTGTCCTCTAGGACACTTAAACCGCTTACCTGAAGGTGGCAGTGGTGGCTCGCAGGTGTGTCGAGGATATTCTGTCCATCTTTGTATCCCAGATTTACTTTGGCAACCTACCGACCTGTCAACCCACCTCCTTGCGCTGCTATTCTTTGTTTGTCATTGTGGGCAAGTCATGGGGCAAGCTCCGGCTCTTGATGTCTTTCCTGCTTTTCGATGTTTGTCACGTGAAGGAGTAGACGGTGGGGAGTAGACGGTCGACAGGTAGTTCCTTCATGATGTTCTTTCGGATCCCTTCTCTTAAGCATCGCCAGACAAATGAGCACCAACGTGGATCTGGTCATTCGAGGATTGATGGTGGATTCCGCTTGCCAGGCGGAAAGAGCAACAAAACCAATGTTGTTTGGAGCATTCAAGTGGATTTGAAGCGAAGCGCCGGACAGAGCGACTTTCCATGACCCAGCTGGGTGGTGTTTGTTGGATGGACATGGATGGAAGATTGACCGATTGACCAGCTTGTCAGCTTGTCATTGATTCATATTCATTGATGATTGATTGTTATTGCGTATTTACTGTAATCATCAAAGCACACTCTATGGACTACGAAGTATGTGCCTACCCTGGGCGACCTTGACCACTCTTCAAACATTAAGTGTAATGTATCTTAGAATCCCACTTCGAGGTTGTTCATAGAGCACTTCTTCACTGTGCTGGAAACCTGTAAAAACCTGACTAAATCATACTAAATCCTACTAAATTCCCATTTGGGAAATGCGTGGGAAAGAGTTGGGATTTCAGATTGAATTTTGTCAGGTTTGACTTGACTTGGACACAAGGCACTCACATTGCCTGCCCCTTGGGAGTGGTTGAGGGGTGCCCCCAAAGCCGGAAAGTGTTCAAAACATTTGCAAAACTGCATATAAGATCAAACAATCAAATGTTAAACAAAACATAACAAACCAAATGTAACAATTATTTCCAACTTTTAGTGTTATTTGTTCTTATTGTTTTCGTTTGGAGGCTATCCCAAAAGTGGGAAAAGTTCAGGTTTTTGTGGGAAACGGTCAGGTTTTTGTGGGAAAAGTTCAGGTTTTTGTGGGAAAAGGTCAGGTCCCTTCAGGTTCTGATGGGAAAACCATCAGAGTGGTGCCCAAAGGCGGGAAAATTGTGTCATCAGTTAGAGTGGAAACCGATGGATTAAGAACCATGCAAATGGTGGAAACATGTGGAAAAAGCAAAGGCAAAAGTGGGAATGACATGGGAAGGCAATGACATTTACTATCCACAGGCTAGTGGCGCCCAAAAGTGGGAAAGCCAGTGGAAGGGTTTGAGCTTTAGTCAAGGTTGTGCCCAAAAGCGGCAAAGCCATATCATTGGAAGGCATTGACATTTACTATCCAGGGCTGAGCTTTAGTGAAAGGTTGTGTCCAAAGTGTTGTTTTTTCTTGGGATTTTTATTGTTCCCTGTAGGGTTTGTGTAGGTTTATGTAGGGTTCTTGCTGGTTCTCATGTTAGACCACATTCAGCGAAGCGATACCCTATGAACAACATATGGCAGTGACCCTTTGAATGTAGATCAACTTTGCAATCATACAAATGTATGGAACAGTTTTCATAAGAGTTTTCATTCATTGAGCCGTCATTGACCCTTCACAAAGCCAATGCAAAGATGTGCAAATGCGGAAACACATACATCTCCGACGGACAGGCGGAGGGAGGGATGGACGGATGGTATGCATCATGGACTGGATGGCTGGCTGGCTGGGTGGACGGATGGATGCATGACCATTGGTCATCCCCAAAAAACCATCAAAAAATCAACCAAAAAACCACTGTCTGGTTTCTCTCTATGGATGGACATCTTGGTCTGCGAATGCTTCCCGTCTTCCACAGGCGGACATCGCCGACTTCGTCACCGGCGGCGGCGCGGTGACCTCGGAGTCAGAGGTGGACGAAGCGGCCGAGGCCGTCGCGGCGGAGGTCGCCCCCACTGAGAGGGGATTGGGTCAGTTAAGGCCTACCTAGAAGGGGGCAGAGACAAGACAAAGGCCCGGGTGGTTCAATTATGTCAGGGCCTTCCAACAGGTGGTTTTCGGAGACCCCGAATCACCTCTAAGAGTCTAAGAGGCTATTGATAGACATCTCTTGAAAGGCCCTGGTAGTTATTATAGATCCCTAAGAATCCGAGTCCGGGCTCGACCTCTTCAAGGTCGGACCCGACACCGAAACGCAAGGGTCTGGGCCTTCACCAAACCCTATCTGTTGCTTCGGGCCCGGATTCTTAGGGATACACCTTTGTTTGTCATTGAGTCATTGAGCAATGTCACAAAGCATCACCCCACGGTTTGGTCATGTTTGGTCACCGACATGAGCAACTCTACCACATGGGAAGACGACTAAAGTGGAAGAAGTTTGGTGACAAAAAGATACAAAAAGGGTAAATGGGCTAGTGCACGTAAATTAATCTAAGTTGTGTGTAAATTTGATTTTCGTGGTGTTTAGATGTTTTTAGCACTTAATTACTAGTACTTTTCTTGAATATGTCCTGCGAGATTGTCCTCGAACCTCATTCGGAACTTGCTGAAGTATTGCTACATCAAATGCACAACTAAAAGCATTGTGGTAGAAATTGAGAAGAGATAAGAGCGCTTCAGCCAGATTCAAGGTCATTGTTGTTTGTAGCAGGCACTGTAGGAAGCGTTTAAAGGCTGTCTCTCTTGAGTTGCAACAAGTGCCTGTACTTGGACCTGGCCAATGTGGTTGCCCAATGTTTCTTCAGAAAGCAAAGAAAAGAAGACATCAGGGACAGACTTAGAGCAAGAAGAGCCAAGGAAAACAAAAAGGTACACAGAAGAAGCAGAAGCACAGAGAGTGAGAATGCAAGGAGATTGCATGAGGAGAATATTCTTGGAAGGACTTTGAGGTTATTCAGGTCCAGGTCCTCCTGACCCTTCCAAGAAGTCCATCCAAGAAGTCCATCAGTCCTCCTGACCCAGATGTCCACAGCGTGTTCGCAACACCCTGAGTTCGATCCTGACGGGTCTGTCGTTCGATCCCGGCACCCTTCGGATCCTGCGCTGCGCTTCCTCATCAGATCCCCGGCACCTGGAAGAGTGGCCGCGTGGCCGTGCGGCTGTCGGAGGCCGGGCCAAGGCTGCGGCTGCTGCTCATCAAGGCGGAGCAAAACGGTCGGTGTGAGGCTCGATTCGTAAACCGACAATCAAGGATATGGCACACTGTAATTACAGTAATTCCCTAAAATATCTATATAGAACATATGTAATTACACAATATATATATATATATTTAGTAGATAGATGTGTGATTTTGCAAACAACCCGTAAACAATGTATATATATATACATCGGTATGTTAACCCGACCAAGGAGATACAGTGATGACGATATGGTCGCTCTCTCGAAATTGCTATAAATCGCATCATGCGAACTATTTTACGGAGTCTCCTTTTAGGCGTCTGAGAACATCACCCCAAATTCTAGGTGCTCAATATGGCAAAGTTCGCTTCCAGGCATGGGCGAAAAACAAAAAGGGCAACGTAGAAAAGGTTCATCAATGGTCCATTGGTGTGTCTTCTTTTCGATCGAACACCGCTGCGAATTGATCCACTTGGCGAGGTCTTGCTTTGACATCTTTGACTTTAAATCCGAGCCAGAGATGTTGGTGAACATTGTCCAAGCATTTGTGGGTTCACAACTCGGGGGTCCAGCTTTTCTTTTTGTCTCTTTGCTTTCGTGCGACTCGAGAAAGTCCAGAACTCGCCCAAGAAAAAAGCATCGCCTCAGGCTGAAGAGGGTGTTTGCACTGGCGGTGGCTTGGTTTTGTAGAAGTTAAAAGACACAAGTGGCGGTTTTTGGTTTTGTGGCTTGGTTTTGAACTGGCAGTGTTTTGCACGTTCAGTTAAACTTGTTGTTCTTTTGTGATCCCAATGTTCGAGATGACCAAAGGCATTTGATAACATCGGTGGCACCGATGGCTTATTTACAATTTCTGCTTTGGCTCACACATGTTCAGACCGTTTCTTTGCGATATCAGCTGCCGACACGTCTGATTCGTTACCCAGGCGTGATGTACCACCGCTTCCTCACAAAGACACCCTCTCAGCAGCAGGCACGGTGAAGTTTGGTTCTTGGAAGTTTGGCATCCAAAGACAGTCCAAAGACATGCCATGAATTGGAGCCTAGCAGTCCGGATTCTCTAGCAAATGGTTTATATATAAATATATATACACAGTGAGTTGATCATGAGTCCACTTTGAAGCTAAATGACGGGTTTTCATATGTATATATATATATATATGTGTGTGTTCATACATGTGTTCATGTGGTTTCCAGGTACTCCAGGAACGAGCCCGGCAGCGACAGAAGCTCAAAGAGCGCAATGCTCGTTTGGCCCCTCGGCGTTGAAGCACGTCGACACGATGTTCATGTAGACTCTTGACCGTCCCCCCACATGAAAAGGATTTCCAATTCAAACGGGCCGATGTCGACATATAATCAAGAGTCTACATTCGGATGGTGGAAGAGTTCAATTGTCAACGGTTGACTCTTTGACGATTTCAGGGAGAATGATTGGCTCAGTAAAGACACCCACCTGGTCAGCGTTTTATTTCGCGGCTCCAGCAGATTTTGCTGCGCGATGGCTGGCGAGTCAACACCTTGGTAGCCCCAAAATGCTCCAAACCCTGGAAACTGTCGACCTCCCTTGTGCCAAACTGTAGACCTCCCTTGCAGATAGTTAAAACCTCAGTCAGTCTTGTGCAATTGTCTTGGTCGACCTCCCTTGGTGTCATCCGGTCGACCAGTCGGTCCCCTGGTTCCATGACCCATATGACCCACATCGAGTCACGTGCTGCGCTCAGGAAGCAAAGGCCAAAGCGGTAAAGAAGCGAAAAAAAGATAAATCCAAGGCCGGATAGCACGCCCAAGCGACAGAGAACGAGTTTCAGACTGCTAAACAGTCAATTCCAAGTTGTCAACATGTAGTTCACTCACGAAAGAAAAACCTAGAGCAAAGATTCCCACCATTCTTTGTTGTTCATGGTTTTTGGGCCCTCCTCACAGTGCTGGTCGTCTTCTCTTCTGTCACAACTGAAAGAAAAGGGCTTAGTTGCATTGAGAGGTGAGAGGATTTAACTAACACCAACTACCACAATCATTTGTTGCTTGCTCAAGGAATCCTTACTTTTTGATGCTTTTAGAGTGGTTTGGCCAGGATGACGACGAGGAGGAAGACAAGGCAGACCTCAACATGGATGATGATGACTGAGCCAAGGCACTCACTTGATCGCATTATGAATCCCACACACACACACAAAAAGAAGAGATGCATTTGTATTTTTTTTGCTAGCTTGCTCTTACTCACGAAGTACAAGTCCTGGCTTGCAGTTCTATTTGGAGATTGATACTCCGTTGCTTTGTGGCTTCGTGTCTCAACATGGACACATGCTTGGGCGAGTCAGAGGACCAGACCACTGGTGCAAGGAACATGGCGTACATGCTGCACCATGCCGCGCCTGCCGGAAAAAAGAGAGTGCACCAACGGCTTAAACGGATGCGTGTTGAATGTCCAACGGTTAGGCCATCCACTGAAGAGCCGGATCGTGGGGTTAGTTCTTGTGGTTCAATGCTGGGTTAGGGAGCGCGATGTGAGTGTTTTTATGTGGATCTTCCATGGTCTTTGCTTTGTTTGAGACTTTGTGCAAATTGACGCCATAGCCCATAGCCATTGTGTGTTGGTAATCATATGTAATCACGGTATGATTCACAAGACAACAGATGAAGACAAAAGGATCTATAAAGTATAATGATGTGTCCAAGATACCTAACCAAAAAGCAGTCGAGTCATGTCCTGACACGACTTGACAGAGCAAGTTGTTGCTGATGCTGCATCCACCTCGCTGCACCATTGACTCCTACCCCTGTCCAGAGGTTTCCTGCGCCATTTCCCAGGAGCACCGTGCCGGGGTACCGCTTCAATTCGGACGCGCTGGCTGGCCCGGAGCCCGAGAATGACGTCCTGAGGTTTGCGCAGGTGCATGAACATATATTACATATTCTATATTTAATGTGGTATTTGTCATGCCGTTGAATCCCTGTTTTGCGGCACCTGCCAGGTGAGGGTTGTTAAACGTTATCAGAGCTGTCAACTCCTTCTCGTCTCCTCCCCCGCTCCTCCACCTCAACTGCGAGGGCTAGATCGCAGTGGGCATCACCGGCCCTGAGCCAGAACGCCAGAAGAGATGCCAAATAGATTGCCAGAAAGAATGTCAGAATTTGTGCAAGATAGAGTCTTAGAGTGTCAGACAGAACGCCAGAAGAGATGCCAGAAAGCAGAATGTCCGGCTGAATGCAAAAAAAATGTCAGAAAATGTGCCAGGTAGAATGCCAGAGTATATTTGCCAGATAGATTGCAAAAATATCTGCCAGATAGACTGCCAGGTAAAATGTCAGATAGGATGCCAGAATATATGCCCAATAGAATGCCAGAGTAGTACATGCGGTGGGGATCACTCAAAGTAAAGTCTGTATTCTTTGCGCTCCCAGTTGACTGAACGATGCCTCCATCAAGATGTTCCGGACACTTCCCAAACCGACTTCCCCATCGTCGAAGCCACCAGCGGCGCAATGCAGCCGGTCCAGTGGACCGAGTCGCGAGAAGCGCTGGCGCCGAGGTCTCAACCGAGTTGCGCAGGCCTTCGTGTGCTTTGTGACGGATCGGTCTCTCATGGAGGTGGCCCGCATGCATTTGGGGCCCTTTGAGGGGTGGAGCCAAGATGGGGGAGAGGAGGGGAAGGGTGAGAGGGGAGGGGCCGAGGGATGCCAGATATAGGTTTTTTCTCTTCAATGTTTGTGGTATATCATGCGTATTATTTTTTGCTTTACGACGTCGACAAACGGAACCTCATGAAGATTTGCTGACTCAGGACAAAAAATGATTAAGCAAGGAGAATTCAATGTCCTCGCTGCATGAATTTTCCTCTTCGAGTTTGTAGAAGGAGGGAGAACGAAACGTGCTGAAACAGTGAGAAGTACCAACAAAAACTCCCTTGCTCAGAATTGGTTATCAATGACGATCATCCGAAAACATCGACATTTGATCTCCAAGGTGTTTCATTCTATATCTACGGCGGGGTGGATCAACATCCGGGACCCCAGCAGCTCACCTTTAAACTGAAGAAGGTTGGCCCCAATCAATTTTATGATGACCACATTGGACAGTCCACTGCTTTCGTAACATACCCAATGTCCTCCAGGTGGGGGAATAATGGCCTCAAAAGTTTGGGCATGGAGAATGCAGACAGACCCAATATGTTTTTACATGTCTCTACTATTTTTGACAAAGGAACAACAATATATATATATATATATACTGTATACAGTGTATACTGTATATATATATAAAGGCTTGATTTGGCTCAGGCTGTTTATTTTATATAGCCCATCCTGGCAACCACATATGCATATCATGGTCAGGATTGAACCAGCGGACATCCTGCATGAAACCAACGTGGAACTCTTGGCAACAACTGTTGTATAACAATATCAAGTGCTCTAACTGCTTTGGTTTGTTGCGTTCCTCGTCCGGAGGGTCGTAACCTAGCCCAAGAGTGGTTAAATTTGTGGCAAGACCAGTGTGGTGTCCAAAGCCCAGACTCTCTTTGGAACGTTGATGAACGTTGGACATTTTCCCAAATAGCTTTGGGACAACTTGGGAAGGACAGAGTTTACTCTGAAGGTTTCTTGGTTCAGACAGAGCTGAGCGTGACCTTGCCTAGGGCCACGCCATGTGCAGATACCCAGCGCTTGTTCCCTCCTGCGGCCACCACGGCCACGTTCCAGGTTCACCGGGAACAGACCTCCAAGGCCGCGACAAAAGCTCCAGACAGTGGGCCATGAGTCATGGGATCACATACGAGATTTGTATAGATTTGTTGTTTTCTTCTGAGAAGTGAGATTTGGGGGGTTGTCGGCCTTGATTTGGTGGTCTAAAGGTGAGGGCGAAGTGGCTTTCAGAAGTGGCTTGATTCGCACATCTACCAGTTCGCAAGTTGGAGAGGGGACATGTGCAAGGTGAATCTGGGTAGTATTTTGCAGGCCCGAGTTTTGCAACTTGTATCCGTTGCATTTGCAAGGCCCATTTACTTGGGTTATCCTTAAGGCCCTCTAACGTTGATGATGTTCTTTTGATGGCATCATTCAAAGTCAGGCTATCTATCTATCTATCTATCTATCTATCTATCTATCTAATGTATGTGTTATATCATCTTTGACATACTGTTTTGGTCGATACATGATCGACCTGATGCTACAGGACCCCGTAGAGGACCACTCCGATGCTTCGCCAGGCGAAGAAGGGCAGCAAGCCGCCGGCCGGGGGGGCCCGGGTGTCGTTGGCCTGGGTGTCATGGGGCGTGAATGGATTCAGGAGATGTAGGCGTGAATGGATGGGCGGTCATGTAGGTTCCATCATACGTCCTTGGTGGATCTTGATGGGCGAAGTAGGAGACCGGATGCGTATGGCAAGTAGGAAACCATCCCGATCTGCCAGTGGTCATAGGAAAGGATGATGAAACAGACACATTTCACAAGTGGCATCATTTTGACAGACCCTTCAAAAGGCAAACAAGCTCTTAGAGATTAGCCACAGTAACCCTGCTGCTTGCCCTGCACCAGCGTTTTGGGAGGTTTTGCACGGCAATTGGCTCAGGTCTTGCGCAAAACACTGTCGGTCGGAGACCCCAGGAGTTGCCAGCATCGCCAACTTCTGCGTGTTCGCGGGAGAGTTCTGTGCTGCTGGTTCTTGTGTACAAGGGTTGAATCGCCCCTAGGTGAATCTGGACAAGTGCCAATAGTGCCACTGGCAATAACTCGAGTGATATGCCATGGTTTAGGGTCAGCTGACAGTCACATGTTGTTGTTGTTGTTGTTGTTGTTGGTAGAGACAAAAACAGCCGCCCAACATAGTTGTCACATGTTGCAAGTCAGGGATTTCAATGGGATTCTGTTAGGGATAGGGTCGAAGGTTTGAAGAGATGTTAGTAGCTGGACTTCTTGTTGTTGTGGTACTCAAGTCTTGGTTGGTCTGCTTCTTGTTTTTTGTTGTGTTGTTTTGGGGGGGGGTCAAAAAACAACAACGGGGTTGCAGATTTTGTTTCTAGGGGGGGGTAGAGACAACAACATCTTTTGGAAGGGGGGGGTCCAAAAAACAACCACGGGGTTGCAGTTTTTGTTTCTAGGATGTGGTAGAGGTTCTAAGTAGAAGTTTTACAGGGTTTACTTAACCAGTTACAATAAGCATCACCAGTAGCATGACCCTCAGAGGAGTTTCATAGACCCTAAGAAGGCGTTTAAATCGACCATATTGTTCCATTGGAATCCAAAAACTTCCAGGAGTCTCCAAGAAAAGATTGATGTTCAGTGCATAGATTGAGAACCGGGTTTCCACCCCCTCGCCTCCGCACACGCCCTGCGCACTGTCCACACATCCCGGGGTGGGGGGTGTCTACCACTAGTAGTAGTAGTAGTAGTAGTAGTAGTAGTAGTAGTAGTAGTAGTA